CCTATACCAAACATTTCTTCAGTCAACAAAAAAATATGTATGTATGTTTTTAAGCATTGTTATGAGTACAAATCTAATTAAGAACAAAACTAAATTAAACTAACTTCTGCTTCTTCCCCTTAACATATACTTTAATAACATTTTTAGCCTGTTTTGCGTACGTTTTCCTTTTCACATTTGAAATGCTGGCAGAAACGCATTTCCTGGGCGCCGCCCACAAGCCCGTAATAAAAATGCAAGCATAAAAACCTCTCAGCTTGTAAATTGGCCGCACATCAAAAGCCGAAAATCCTTTTAAGATGCTCCTGCTCCGACTCCTCCCCCGGCTCCTGCTCCGACTCCTCCCCCGGCTCCTGCTCCGACTCGCCTCGTTCCTTGCCTTTCGCATGCATTTACGAGCAGTAATTATTCTTTTTAATTTTGTTTAATCTGAAGACCCTCTGTGCACTTGGCCAGGTTGAGTTACATGTTTCGGGAGATCTCATGATGCACGCATGCGGCAAGGTGGGGAGGGGAGTCGGGGGCGGAGTTGCAGCTCATTAGCCGGTGGGCGGTTTTAGCCAGCTGCACGCCAAAATATCTGCACATAATTACGCACTTTTTCTTCTTCTTCTTCTTCTTCTTCTTTCTGCTGCCTTTTATTTTGTGTTGGCGGCTTTTACGATTTGCCTACTTAAAGTGACAACGTGACGCCGGATGAGGCGCTAGCCGACGAGGGCGGCGGGGCACCACAGTTGTCCAGGGGCGGAGGGGGCAGTGGGGAGTGGGGCAAGTCAGGCGGATCGCAATTGTCGCTGGCTTTTGGTTATTTTTAATGTCTGCTGCCTGTTTGCTGATTTTCGTAGCCGTTTCTTGTGCCGCACTTGCAGCATTTTTATGCGTTCGTCATCCGTTTGTCATAAAAAAGCAGCAACAACTACAACAACCGCAGCAACAACAAAAACAACAACCTGGAGAGCAGCAACAACAACTTTTAATTTTAATTTAATATCTAATAATTGTTGGTTTTCTTTGCTTTGTAATTTTTCGTGCTGCAATTTATGCATTAAAACTTGGCGAGCTGCAGCAACAGGCGAACATTCGGACACACGACTTTAATGGATTTCTCTGATGATGCGCAATATCATTAAAATATCTTTGAAAAATGTTTTAATCAGGCTATACGTATGTGCAGTAGCATTTACAGTGAATGCACATTGCACATATTGTGGCTACAAATATTTAGGCACACAAATATATTTTCCGCGAATATCGAACCCGCAACCTTCGGTTTAGACAACACACAATATAAACACTAATTGTTTATACTGTCTTTGGTTTGGGTGTCTTTCTATACCCTTGTAGAGGGTACTACAATTTTGTCATGAAATGTGTAACTGCATAAAGTATATATATTCTGGATCTACATCAACAGTCGACTGTCCGTCTGTCTCTTTCTATGCGAACTAGTCTCTCATTATGGTATCTTGACCAAACTAGGCATTAGGTAGCTTCACTACGCTCTTAATATATATGCGAAATCTTATCAACATCGGATCACTGAATGATTTAGGGACAAGGAACGATCGATCGGTTATTGCTTGGCAAAATATTCTTTTCTCATTTGTTCTAATTTCATTAAACTTAACATTTACGAGCTTCTCTATTCCCAAATATCTGAAAATGGGAAATGTTTATAAGAGTATTAGGTGTTCGGCGTGCCGAGGATATCCCAAACATCTCGCTTTTTTATACATTTTTGATAAAAATGGATGATTGGTAATACAAATTTTAACACTTTGTTAATACATAATTAAGTATAAATATGTATATCACATAATAATTATTTATATAGATGAAATCTATATGAATATAAAAGATGTCTTAATATAAATAATAACAATAATTCTGAGCCAAACTCTCTTGAAAATTATTATGATTTCTTGTATTGTATAATTTATATTTTTAAATCTGTCTATCTATCTATCAATCTATCTATCTACTTATCTACCTATTAATTTTTCTATCTATCTATCAATCTATATATCCAAATATCTTCCTATCTACCTATCTGATCATCTAGCAATCTATCAATCTATTTATCTATCAATCTATCAATCTAATAATCTGTTAATTTATCCATCTACCTATCTATCTATCTATCCATCTAAAACTTCCAAAATTTCTTAGAATTGGAAATGCATGAAGCTGCCAATGCAATAGCCTAAATATTAAAATGTAGCATGAGAAATCGGCATTTTAATAGATTAGTTCTCACTTAAGTTTAAAATATCGATCTAATTCAAAATCCTGTACATTTTGAATAGCTTGAGCAAATGTTTTAAACCTGATCCAAGCCGACAAACCACATTTACCGACAATTTTAGCAAGCTAGTGTTTTCCACATATATGAATTTAGCTTAAAAAAAAAATTGTTTCAAAATCAATTAATATTTATATTTATTTAGATAACCACCTTTACCTTTATAACTCTCAACCGCACCGACGGCTTTTTACCCTCGATCTTTTCCAGTTCAACTGGAAAATGCAACAAAATAATCAAAAAAGAAAAAGCTGCTGTGAAAACGTTGTTAAAAAACAAACGAATCGCTTAATTAGCGTGTAAAAATAGAATAAAACTGATAAACTCATTACATGCAAATGCTCAAGAATTGAGAATTGAGAAAATGCGAATTAAAATTAGGTTCCTCCGAGTGTCATTGGGATGTAATTTTCAAGCGGCTGGCGCATAAATTTATGTGCTACGAATCTCTAAACAGTCGGGCCAACTAAATAATTACGCGATAACTAGCCGTGGAAAACGAGTTGCAGCCTGAGCTGCCCCATCCGGCCCCCCCACTTGGCAACAATGCAAACTAAACTCTGTATTAATTTGCAATTAATGCAGCTAATTATATTTAATTAAATGAACGAGCCAAGCGGCAGCGGCGAACAATGCAAAAAACGCAAGCGGAGTGCTCGAGTCGAGCGCATACCCTATAGATACTTTGTAGCCAGTTACAGATACAGATACAGATACAGATACAGATACAGATGCAAACGATAATTTGTGGAGCTTGGACACACTGGGAAAAATGTAACGCGCAGGTTGGCGGCGACTGCCAAATGAAACTGATTATTACTAATGCCATTGTAGTTGTTGTTGTTGTTGTTGTTGTTGTTGGTGGTGTGAATTGCTGCTTATTGTATCTGGCAGATACATTTTACAAGCGAACGGCGCGCGCGTATTTTGCAAAACGTCCGCGACTCATTCAAATGGCAATTGTAATATTTAGATATCTATTTTATTTTTTTCGTGGGGTGGCATTATTTGCAAGGCTTAGCACATTAAACTATTTATGTGTAGAGTTGCGTTTGTTTTTTTGTTGTCAGCAATTTTAGTATTTTAGTACCTCACAGATACATTTGAGCGGCTCATTGTTGCAAATTGCCAGCGCTGCGTCCGTAGCTAAACATATGATTAGTTTAGTTTAGCTGCCTGCTTTATTATTATTTATTGTATTTACTTTTATTATTAGATGGCCGCGTCTATTTTCGTGCTCGAAACAAATGGCAAACGGAGGGGGGAGTGGGAGTTCGCGCAGCTGGGGCAACATATTCTTGCATCATTTTGTGCCCCAAACGCATTGCACTCGAGAGTTAATAACGCTGCCGCGGCTGCAATTTATTTTGTTGTTGTTTGCCTCTTGAAAATTATGCTTAATTAATGCTATTAACGCTTTTATCTCATTGCATAAAAATCACATCAATTTATTGTATTACTGCATTACGATGTCAAGGCCAAGATTTGCATAAATCTTGCATTTGGCTGCAGTTCTTAAAGTGCGTTAGATGCAAATTTATTCGCCTGTGAAAATGCTCGCCATAAGCCTGACACTAATGATATTTTAAGAGCTGCTCATTGATTAAACTGCAATTAGCCTAGGATGTTGCCCAAGCAATACAACATGACACTCGATTTAAATGGGCATTCAAAAAGTGCACACTAGAAGACAAAAGTTGGAAAAGTTGAAGAGAAAAATTAAATAGTTATTTCATTAGGAATTATATTATTTAGCTAATGAACTGCCAGAAAGAGCAAAGTGTGGCATTAGTAACCGAATTCTCATATAAAGAATTCAAATATTAATAAAAAATTAACTTCAGCTTCATTATTTTTATAATACATATACATATTCATGAACCACTTGGAAACAGACGAAACACAGCGAATCGTGTAACCCCAAACTAATTGAGGGAACTGGATTCGAATATTGTCAACAAATCCTAAATCCTAACATATATCAAATTTCATTTCAAGAGCCGTTTTGTACAACTCGGAATTATTTGAAGTCGTTCGTGAACCAGTTCACAAATTTTATAATAATTATCATATGGTAAATAAAGAGTTAATAATTAAAATAAAATATTAAATAAATTAAAAAATATATTATATTGGATGCATTGAATATATACATATAATAACTGATATGCGGAAGCTTCAAATAGAAATTCCAATTTAAATAATTTTCTATTTAATATAAATCAAGATAAATATATCTCCTAAATAAGTAACTATTAGAATATTAGACCAAAAGTAAAAAAAGGATATCGAGCGAAGAACTGTTCTTTAACCTTTATAATTTGTCAAATTTATCTGAATATTGTAAGGAAATCTTTTCAAAATTTGATTCAAGCTAAGAACTTATCTTTTACCTTTAAGATTTTTCAATTTTTTCCTGATATTTTACTGAATTCTTATACAAAATGAAGTCTAGTTAGTTTGCATTCTGTTTAAAATGAGATTCAAACTAAGAACTGATATTTAACCTTTACGATTTTGCAGTTTTTACCAAAGATTTTAATGCAATAGCTTAACAAAAGAAGTGTAGTTGATGTACATTCTGGTGAAAATTAGATTTAAACAAAGTTACCGATTCACTGTTAAATATAATTCTTAAACAATTGCATTGTATCGCGGCATTTTTAAGTATTTAATCATAATATTTCTTTTTAATTACCGTCTTTTTGTAGAATCAAAGCAGCAATTAGGAATTTCCTGGAGCTCTCTAGTTTTTCAGATTTGTGTCAAAACTTGCAGCTTTTCTTATTTGTTTTGTTTTTGTTTGCTTTTTCACGTTAATTAGGATATTTTGGTATTTATTTGTTTGAGATTCTATCGAGAATTGCACCAAAGACGAAAATCACTTTCTGAGTTTTACTTGAACTGTAGGTCAAAGTTAAGATTGAAATACCGAAAAGAATTTATTGGGAAGAAAACACTGCGAAACGATCGGACAGGAATTGAGAGTAATTATTTGAATATTTTGATGCACTTTTTAAATCATACACACACAAAGATGCTGCAGTTGCAGTTTATAGTTGTTGTTGTTTGTTTGTTTGTTTGCTGGTTTGTTGGTTTGTTGCTGAGCCACACGCGACGATTTCTTGAGATAAGCGCGCGCGAAATCTTTGGAATACTTTTGCCAGGTTGCGCACTGCAGTTGCAGACTGCTGTTGCAGTTGCAGTTGCAGTTGCAGTGTTGCAGCTGTGAAATGTTGCTGCCTGGCACACGCCGGCAATGGAATGCAAAAATGCACACGCGTTGCTTTCTGTGTGTGTGCGCGTTCGAGTGTGTGCTTATGCGCGCTCAGCAGCGTGACGGTGCGTGAGTGGTACGTACAGGCGCAAAGTCGTCCACAGACTGAATGAACGTGTGGCGCACAAACGGCGCTTGGACCCCCAACAATCATCAACATAAGTAGCAAAGCGCGGCCACAACAACAGCAACAACAGCAACAGACCACGACAACTACAACGATGACGATGACGGCGACGACGACGGCAACGACGACTTACGACAAACACGAGCAAACAAAAATGTTGCCGAAGCCGCTGCCGAAGCCGAAGCAAATGGCCCAAGCCTCTGGAGGAGCAAGCGAGCGAGACACAACAGAGAGGGAGCGAGAGGGAAAGACAGAGAGCGCGAGCGAGAGCGAAAAACCAGACATAGTCAAAGCGACGTCGACGCAAGCAGCGAGTGGTTGTTTGAGTGGGTGAGAGGGGGTGGCTGGTTGGCCTGTGGTCTTGTCTCAGCTAATATGTGAAACAAAACGCGAGAAACGTCAGCAGCGCCGTTGACTGCGCAGGAGCAGCGCACACACAACATGCACCATTGAAATGCTCGCACTCGTCGTCGTATTTTACCGCCTCGCTGCTCCGCCCGCTGCCGAGTGTTGTTAAAATAAAAATAATGACGTCATTAAGCGCACAAATGAGCGCTGCTGCTGCCAACGACGACTGCAGCGGCGACTGCAACAGCGACTGCGACGTGGGCAGCATTTATAACTGTTTTCGGCGCAGGAGAAGTGCACACTTGACGAAGCTCCGGCCCCCCAGACTGAACGAGACAGAGAAAACTCGAAAGAGTGAGTGCGAGCGCGTGTGGGAGCACAGAGAGCAAACGCGCGTGCAGTGTGAGCGCAAATTTTGAGCAATTACTGTTGCTTCTCAATTCTTTTGGCCGGCACTCGTGGTGGGGCAAATGTGGTGGTGGGCATTGGAAGTGGGCATGCATTGATTACCAGTGCGTTTTGTCTGAGGGGTGGGAGCAGCGCGAGTGCGATGCGAATTCTAATTCTTATTTACATATTTTAATTTTTTGTAGTTGCAAAATGTTTTGAGGTTTACATTGCGAATAATACAAAAATTGCATTTGTATGCAACCACATTTGATTTTTACTGGAAACTTAACCTATGTATTTGCCAATTGGGATTTGCTTGTTAGTTTTTCCTATTTGACTTTATAGTCACTCTCTCTATGATTTTTAAAGATTTTTAAGCCTCTAACCCCAAGCAATATTATTGAGTCGACATTCTGGTAAATGCCAAGGTTTTAGTTATTAAATTAATTATCGCAATTACTTAAATTATAAAGAAAGATATTAAATTTCCAATATCTGGAATTTATATGACAAAATTGAATAGAGAATTTGAATTTATAATCGATATCAAATTGATAGAGAAATTGAGCCGAACCAGTTCCAGATCGGAATTTCCAAAAAGTGAACTATTAACCGAACCTTAAACGAAACCTGTTGTCCAAATAACACTTGATCCTCGGATCCTGGATCTAGGAGATATGAAGTTCAAGGTTGTAGAGGCCCACCTTCAACCGAATTTAAAGGAAGGGAGCTGGTTCTTATCATCAACCGAGCAAATATAGTATTATCTTAATTAGATTATATAAATATAAAGATATTATTAATGATTTAAATTAACTCAAACTGTATAAATAATGTTAATAACTGTGACTAAGTGCATTTGACATCCTCCAGTGTGCCAACGGACTCAATTTGTTGAAATTGTACTTTCTATATAAGTCGCCATTTGTCACTTGTCGCCGCATTCCAAACAATTCGAATGCTGTTCCTTTGCCAAGAAATTAATAATTAAAATGCCAATCCGCAGTCCGAACCATCAACTCATTCATACTCATCAGAAGCTATATATTCAACAGCCCCTGCTCCGATTCCTTCGGCTCGACTCAGCTCAGTTTGTCAACTATCTCCAATTGCTCTTCCGTCTACTCTTTCTTCTGGCTCCCCCACTCACCCGCCCACTCAGGCCACAGCACAGACACAAACCGAAAAGTGCCAATAAATATGGAGCATTTGAGCAATGCTCCCTCACAACCCCCGTCCAAAGCTCCTCCTCCTCCTGCTTGTGCTACCTTGTGCACTAATTCACATTTGATGTTTTGTTGTCTGTTGCGATGTTGTTGCTTTTGTTATTGCTGTTGCAGCTTGCATTTTTCTGGTCAATGAGGTTACAGTCAAGTCACTAGACAAGCCAAACTAAACCAGCGAGAAGCTCCAGCTGCCCCACCCCCTCCATGAGTCCGACCAGTTGCAGGGCAGAAGATGCAGCAACGCCAACTCGTGCGGTCTCTGCAACCGGTCACTCCCGGTCTCAGCCATAGCCAAAGCCCGCCGCACTGGTTGCTGTCTAGTGTCCAGTCCCAGTCACAGTCACAGTCACAGTCACCGCCGCAGCCACCCACCCGGCTCAGTTCAGTTATCGCTCAGCTATCGGAGGTGTCGATGACGTCGTCGTCGTCGTCGTCGTCGTCGTCGTCCATCGTCCGGGGTCTCTTGCCTCTGCTGTCTGTCCCCGCTGCCCTCCGCAGACTCTTCTATCCACATCGAGCGACTGCTGCAGTTGTTGTTTATTGTTGTTTGTAATACTTAGCTGGATGGCAAAGTATAAAGACTTTGTCAGCATATTCGCACATACGAGCAACTCGGAAAGTGCATATATTACCAAATAAAATGACTATTTCCTTTCAATCAGTTAGTCAGTGTATATTGAAGAAACTAAAGCATCGTCTTACATATTTGCAAAATTAAATAAGGTTAGGATTTGGAATACGTTAGTAACAGAGTTCCATTAACTTGCTGCTGTTAGCATAACATGCCGTTATAATAACAGATGTAACGCTGCTAGCAACATATGAAATATTCTGTTCAGATTTAAGGCTTACCGCTTAAAGATCTTTAATAAAGATCCATAATAAATATCTATGATAAAAGCATAAAAGCTTTTAAAAATGGTCAACCTTTACCTTAACCCCTGTTCTTTCTACCTTCAAGTAAATTCACTTATTTAATTAGTCTAGCATCGCTATTAACATATGTCCAATAATAATAATTTTTAATATGGTTGCATTTTGTTAAAAGGTATTTATTGTGCTTACAGTGTAAAACTTACATAATTTGAACAGCGCTAATAACATTTTTGTAAGCCCTAAAAATGGCTATAACATGTAAACTTTTGTTAACATTTTCTTAATCCATTAACAGCGGTAACATTACAGTAGCAGAGCCGCACCAATAACATTTTAAAGGCTCTGAAAATATTTAGTTAGCCCTTTAAATTATTATAATATTTAAACACTCTATTGTGTGAATTAAGGAGAGATTGGCAACTGCTTTGTTTGGCATGGCACATTTTGCTCATAACATTAATTATAAGGTTAACAGTTCTAGCAGAACCAGAAAAATATTAAACAAAGTTAACCCCTGTAAGACTTTACAGTTATGTTAACTCTTTACTGTGGACAAAGCATAATAGAGTTTTAATTGTAAGTGACCCTTAAAGAAGATTAGCTGACTGGAACTAAACCTGTACCTAAGAAAAATTGTTAAAAATGCTCTGATCTATAAATATATATTAATTTTGGATAATTCGGAATAATGCAACGATTCTTCATGGTTATACAAAATTAGCTAGTTACGAAAAACAAAAATTTGTATTAATTAAACTTTGTACTCAAAATTGTAAAGAAAATATGAAAATGAAGACTTAAACCAAAAGCTGGGCTCATATATCCAAACCGAATAATGGGGCCAGGCATTAGCTGCGACTTTAAATCGAGGCGCTGCAAATCTTACGTTCCTTTTGCAGGTCTGTAATATATAACTATTTCATCAGGTGTCACATATAGAGCATCCAATTATCAACAATACCGTGCTTTACTGCCCGTTATAGTGCTTGTTTTTAGCCAATTTTGGTCAAATATTTAAGTGCTGTTGCCACTTCAGTTTACTCTTCAACTGACTTGGCCCGACTGCGTACTGCGGACTATGCTGCTCCTGGCCTGGTTCATCAACTTAATTTTCGAAATTTTCACGTTGTCTCTGGTGGTGTCCTCCGCCCCCGCTGCGCCGCTCCTGGCCAATGCATTGCACACATTGCTGTTGTCTTTATGTCTAATTTTTGTGCAGCTTTTTACCGGCAGCTATAAAATTGTATTACCGTTAAATGCTGCACTGGCGAGCCATCGTCTAATTTACGTTAGCCGGCAGCCCACTGCTCTGCCCGGCGAGGAGGGGCCAGGAACAGGGCGGGGGGGCTGGGGCAGGCTGCCCACTTTCCATCTTGACTTGATTGTCATTCGTTACGTTGCCGTTCGGGCCATGGCCAACAAACTGATTAAATTCAGCACGCGCCCTGCGGGCATCTTAGAAACTTCTTGCTGCAGACTCGACTCTTCCAACTAGCTTGTGGGGGCGTGGTGGGGGCAGCCGAGGAGGCAGCATCTGAGTCTCACTCGGGCAGCCAGTTCCAAGCCTCATCAGCCACTGAGGAGGAAACTCGACGCTCTACATAAATTTGAAA